CAAACGGGGATCCATACAATTCTGAGACACTTTGGGACATTCCAGATGAGGAAACAAAGAAGATTGGAAATATTCATTTTTTGGCAAAAATGATGAGCTAACCCCTTGCCATTTTTGTCAAAAAGTGACGATTTTCGAATTTCCCCCAAATTTGCCTGAACGCCCTTTTTGGGATCAAACGGGGTTCCATACGATTCTGAGACACTTTGGCACATTCCAGATGAGGAAACAAAGAAGATTTAAAATATTTGTTTTTTGGCAAAAATGATGCCATTTTCGTCAAAAAGTGACGATTTTCGAATTTCCCCCATATTTGCCTTAACACCCTTTTTGGGATCAAACGGGGTTCCATACGATTCTGAGACACTTTGGGACATTCACGATGAGGAAACAAAGAAGATTGAAAATATTCATTTTTTCGCAAAAATGATGAGCTAGCCCCTTGCCATTTTTCTCAAAAAGTGACGATTTTCGAATTTCCCCCAAATTTGCCTTAACAACCTTTTTGGGATCAAACGGGGATCCATACAATTCTGAGACACTTTGGGACATTCCAGATGAGGAAACAAAGAAGATTGAAAATATTCATTTTTTGGCAAAAATGATGAGCTAACCCCTTGCCATTTTTGTCAAAAAGTGACGATTTTTCGAATTTACCCCAAATTTGCCTTTACACCCTTTTGGGATCAAACGGAGATCAATACAATTCTGAGACACTTTGGGACATTCCAGATGAGGAAAAAAAGAAGATTGAAAATATTCATTTTTTGGCAAAAATGATGCCATTTTTGTCAAAAAGTGACGATTTTCGAATTTCCCCCATATTTGCCTTAACATCCCTTTTAGGATCAAATGGAGATCAATACAATTCTGAGACACTTTGAGACATTCCAGATGAGGAAATAAAGAAGATTGAAAATTTTCATTTTTTGGCAAAAATGATGAGCTAAGCCCTTGCCATTTTTGTCAAAAAGTGACGATTTTCGAATTTACCCCAAATTGCCGGTACACCCTTTTTGGGATCAAACCTGGTTCCATACGATTCTGAGACACTTTGGGACATTCACGATGAGGAAACAAAGAAGATTTGAAATATTTATTTTTTGGCAAAAATGATGCCATTTTTGTCAAAAAGTGACGATTTTCGAATATCCCCCATATTTGCCTTAACATCCCTTTTGGAATCAAACGGGAATCCATACAATTCTGAGACACTTTGGGACATTCCAGATGAGGAAACAAAGAAGATTGAAAATATTCAATTTTTGGCAAAAATAATGAACTAACCGCTTGCCATTTTTGTCAAAAAGTGACGATTTTCGAATTTCCCCCAAATTTGCCTTAACGGCCTTTTTGGGATCAAACGGGGATCCATACAATTCTGAGACACTTTGGGACATTCACGATGAGGAAACAAAGAAGATTGAAAATATTCATTTTTTGGCAAAAAGAGACGATTTTCGAATTTCCCCCAAACTTGCCTTAGCACCCTTTTTGGGATCAAACGGGGATCAACACAATCCTGAGACACTTTGGGACATTCCAGATGAGGGAACAAAGAAGATTGAAAATATTCATTTTTTGGCAAAAATGATGAGCTAACCCCTTGCCATTTTTGTCAAAAAGTGACGATTTTTCGAATTTACCCCAAATTTGCCTTTACACCCTTTTTGGGATCAAACGGAGATCAATACAATTCTGAGACACTTTGGGACATTCCAGATGAGGAAAAAAAGAAGATTGAAAATATTCATTTTTTGGCAAAAATGATGCCATTTTTGTCAAAAAGTGACGATTTTCGAATTTCCCCCATATTTGCCTTAACATCCCTTTTAGGATCAAATGGAGATCAATACAATTCTGAGACACTTTGAGACATTCCAGATGAGGAAATAAAGAAGATTGAAAATATTCATTTTTTGGCAAAAATGATGAGCTAAGCCCTTGCCATTTTTGTCAAAAAGTGACGATTTTCGAATTTACCCCAAATTGCCGGTACACCCTTTTTGGGATCAAACCTGGTTCCATACGATTCTGAGACACTTTGGGACATTCACGATGAGGAAACAAAGAAGATTTGAAATATTTATTTTTTGGCAAAAATGATGCCATTTTTGTCAAAAAGTGACGATTTTCGAATATCCCCCATATTTGCCTTAACATCCCTTTTGGGATCAAACGGGAATCCATACAATTCTGAGACACTTTGGGACATTCCAGATGAGGAAACAAAGAAGATTGAAAATATTCAATTTTTGGCAAAAATAATGAGCTAACCGCTTGCCATTTTTGTCAAAAAGTGACGATTTTCGAATTTCCCCCAAATTTGCCTTAACGGCCTTTTTGGGATCAAACGGGGATCCATACAATTCTGAGACACTTTGGGACATTCACGATGAGGAAACAAAGAAGATTGAAAATATTCATTTTTTGGCAAAAAGAGACGATTTTCGAATTTCCCCCAAACTTGCCTTAGCACCCTTTTTGGGATCAAACGGGGATCAACACAATCCTGAGACACTTTGGGACATTCCAGATGAGGGAACAAAGAAGATTGAAAATATTCATTTTTTTGGGGCAAAAATGATGAGCTAACCCCTTGCCATTTTTGTCAAAAAGTGACGATCGATTTATCGAATTTACCCCATATTTGCCATTACACCCTTTTTGGGATCAAACGGGGTTCCATACGATTCTGAGACACTTTGGGACATTCCAGATGAGGAAATAAAGAAGATTGAAATGTTTATTATTGGCAAAAATGATGAGTCATTTTTGTCAAAAAGTGACGATTTTTGAATTTCCTCCAAATTTGCCTTAGCACCCTTTTTGGGATCAAACGGGGATTAATACAATTCTGAGACGCTTTGGGACATTCCTGATGAGGAAACAAAGAAGATAGAAAACATTTATTTTTTGGCAAAAATGATGCGCTATTTTTGTCTAAAAGTGACGATTTTCGAATTCACTCCAAATTTGCCTTAACGCCCTTTTTTGGCATCAAACAAAAAATAAGAAAGTTATGATCTTTTGAAAGTTGTAAACACTAAATGTATGAACACTTCAATTGTCAGAAAATTTTCCCATTTGACTGACTAAAATGACTCGGATGTCTTATCTATGTAATATAATTGTGCATGCCATTCCCCTAATTTGGGGGTGCTGAACATGAATCCACCTTTTTTGCCAAATGACATCTTTTGCCGTTGCCATAGTAACAAATCGTTTTCTTTGAAATAGCATATATATATAGTAAAGGGACTACATGATATATAATTTTTTTTTAATTTCAACAAAAATCTCAGTCTTCCTCGGTCTTGGATCCGGTCAAATATGGCGGTTGCTATGGCAACAACAAGGTTCTGGCACAAATATGATTGTGAATGATCGAGATATTTAAAAAATTATTTTTAAACATGAAATGTAAATTTGTTAACAGTTTTGAATGTTTACATGTTTTTCTCAGTAGAAACATGTTGTTTTTTCTTAAACTACAGGCATTACCATGGTAACCGCCAAAATAAGGAACATAACACCTAAAACCACACTTTAAACTTGCCGTGTAATAAAATGAAGTTATTCTAAAGAAGATACACAATTCAATTCCCCTTTGCAACACTGCCTTTCAGAATTGTTTTACTCTAACCTTTTCAGGCACTACGGCTTGACATAAGAAGCATGCTCAATATTTTTGAAAATAAGCTGAATTCAGACTCGGTTTTGCACAACCTAAACTAAACCTAAACATACGATCAGTCATTCCCCCTCCATGCATGCACATTTTACACTTGCATACCGCCCCCCCCCCCCCCCGTGATGCCAAGATACGAACGGCGCGCCAAATTTAAAAGGAGATTCTGCGCGCCCCCAAGTGCAAAAAAGTCACCCGCTGGTTGGGCGGTGCGAGGGCGGAGCTCATGCACACTTCCACTAGCTATAAACCTTTCTACGGATGCTATAACAAACCAATCAAACTTTCACAGTTCAAGACAAAAGAGTTTTAATGAGAATTGAGAGAACGGTACGACAAAACTTACTTCAGTTATGTGAAAACTGTTGTTGCTCAAAGACAAAATTATATCTCTGACTTTTCGTCATTCATCTTGAGGCCTGAGATGAAGTACGTGAAAACAAGTGCTTAGCAGTCTAGATTTAGGAGGGCGAAAATCAAGGTGGGACGCGTTCCCAATTCTGATAGTCCACGATAGAGACGACGTGACGCACACGCAGTGCCTTAAAATCACGTCTCACGTAGCAGTCCACCAGCTATATGTCGATGTGCAAATCTAAAAGTCCCTATTGTCACATATAGTACCATCTCTCCCTGTCACACATTAGCTTCTTATGTCAGGCAAGCATGCAAACATTTGAATACACCTGGCAACCTTAGGATTCAAGAGCAACTGTTGTTCAAGAAGTAGAATGTTTAATACATTAGTAAACAGGTATGCACTACGAACATGACTGACAAAGAAAGCAGACAAAATATACAGTTCCTCAAGTAGACAAAAGAACATCCCTTCACTGCTATTATGTAAAAAGGTGAATATGCATGTCACACCTGTTCCACACATTTTTACATAATAGCAGTGAAGGGATGTTCCTTTGTCTACCTGAGGAACTGTATATTTTGTCCGCTTTCTTTTTCAGTCATGTTCATAGTGATGGCAGCCCTCTTTCTCTTTCTCTCTCCCTCTCTACCTCTCTCTCCCCCTGTCACACATTAGTTTGTTATGTCAGGCAAGTATGCATAACATTTGAATACACCTAGCAACCTTACGATTCAAGAGCAACTGTTGTTCAAGAATTATGCATAACATTTGAATACATTAGTAAACAGGTATGGCAGCCCTCTTTCTCGATCTCCCTCTCTCCCACTCGCTCTCTCACTCTCTCATTCTCTCTCTCCTTCTCTCTATTCAATTAATGTTTGTTCCTATGTTTATTCAAACCCAGACTTTTAAAAGAACAACGATTACAAATATCCATTACCATTCAAATTAATTGAGGACAGATCACAACAAAACCTTTTTATTTGGTGTGAGTGGTGAACATTGATCGGGTATACAAACAAATTGAATCAGAAGAAGAGGGTATTATTGACTTTTAATTATTTGTACACTCTCCACTAGATTTCATTCCATGGGGCATGCATGGTGAATAGGCTCAATCACATGTGTATTCAAATTTATGTATGCATGGACCCAAAGATCGCAGTGAATTTACCTGTTCACATATGACTGTATTTCAATAGCCAAAATGCAAGGTTACATACATGTATGTGTATATTGTCATCAATATTCATTGTGGTAGAGACACACTTTGAACTTAAATATGTATGTGAACTAACCTATCACATCACATTACCTTGTGAATGGAGTGATTTCATTGTTTGGTTTAAAACTCTGATTATCAATTAATATCCTGAAAAGTTTCATAAAAATCTAAACGTACAAAGATAAGGACCATATCTTAACTGCCTATATTGCTATGCGCCACAATCATATTACATATATGTCAAAACTTGTAGAAATTATGAATTCAAAGAATTGCATGAAGAAATTTTTTGGTTGTAAAACTCCTCTTGTATATCAAACATGGTGAATAGTGGGCATAGATGAATAATGTCAGAATAATCATTGATATCAAAAGAGGAATTATTTGAAGTAACAATGAAACACTTACATTTTTGGTTTGAAAATCCTTCCTCAAAAATTATTTCAATACATCTATTCTCTCCATTAAAATAAAGAAAATTTTCAAGATATTTCTTTCTTTTCATGGGGCTAAAATGACCAAATGACATAAAAATATGGCGGAAAGAAAACTAAACTTTAAATTGTGATTATTATGTATCTCTAAAAACTCCAATATAAAAAGGAACTAGAAAACAAAATAAAATGGCCATGTGTTATCTTAATAACAAACCATTGATCAACATCCTTCAAAATAACCTCGCCCCAACAATAAGTGTAGGTAAGCTGACAGACGAGATTTATTCTTGCCTTTTGATGTCTAATATTCCTTACAAAAGTGTACAAGAGATATATACATGAAGATATTCTTGGCATGATGTAATGCCTTTTAGCATGACAAGGCGGGCACAGCCATTTCTTTGATAATGTGACGTACCAGGCAAATGTACCTTAACTTGATAAACAACTTTGCATAGTACATCACATTATCAAGAAAATGGCAATGCCCATGTCGTGCTGACAAACTTTACATTATGCCAAGGATATCTTGATTTAGACTCTCTTATATACACTTTGGTGTAGTTTGATAGGCAATAATAGAATAAATCTCTCAGAATAACTAAAGTTTTTTGGGGTGGGGTTTCCTTAAACTTTATAGAGGAGAGTAAACATAAGGACCGTATTGGGAGTCTCTATAATCCCAGTGTCTACATAACAACCCTGTAACTAAATGCATTGTATGCCAAACTCAATAAAACATTAAAAGCGATTGAGCATTACTGAGTTGTTTTTTTCTTGCCATCAAATCAAATAACAATAATGATTTTTTTAAAAAAGAGATATTTCAGAAAGTAAGCTATAATAAAGCAGCAATATATATTGGTAAAACACATCTTGAAAACTTAGGACATTTGTTCTTTACCTACGTTTATTGTATATCTTCACAATTACTTGTCAGGTACACTTTTGTTACATAATTGCCCTCAGATATTAACCCAACTTTGGGTATAATTATCATTAGTTAACTGATTTCTAAAATCAGTTGAACTGATGGAGCACATAATATTTTTTTTTAAAAATTTGCTATTAATGGAGTCTTCTTTCTGTCCTTCTATTACATATATCTGTCCATTACATATATCTGTTCATAAATGATTTAAAAATGAGTTGTATCAACTGTTTTCCCCTCTTTTCAACTAATATGATAAGGAGTTGTACACAAAAGAGTAACATTAAGATAATAATTATTTCAGACATTTCATAAGCATCATAAAGTACCTTATTATGGATTATGGTTAATATTTTTTTTATACAAATAATGGAAAGAAGACATCTATCATTTTAAATATTCTCTTGAAAAAAAACACATTCTAAGAATAATTCTCAGTGCAGCAAATATAATAAAGGAATACACATTACCCCCTCCCTGTTAGTACTTGGCAAGACTATTACATTAAATCAATCCAAGGTCATTTAGAAATAACAAAAAAGCTTATATATTAAGATAGATTGAGCAAACATGATCTGAACACTACATAATATTCAAACATAATTTATGTTTCTTTCTTTTTCTTTACATATAAACGTACAATGTACAAGTACAGCAAGATGTAGGGATGATTTAAATTTTAGCTACACTGTCAAATTGGAAAAAATAAAAGGGACAAGTTTAATATTGTTGCAAATAATTAAATAATGGCATATCATAAAAGATATTCAATACCGGTACCATTCCCACTGCAAGCAGCCTGTAACACTAGAGACAGCCCTAGCATTCCGTTCTATGCAGCCTGCAGGCAAACACCACTGATGTTTCTAATGCCATTTCTTTATTTTAAAAAAGGAGAAAAAAAAGAGTACTTCCCTCACTCATATTTTGTAACTGCTTGAATAGTTTGACAGAACTTATGCAGATCCCATGCAAATATTTACCAATGTACAGCAAGCAAATTGTGCCAATATCATTTTAGATATTATAACATACACCATGTATCATACACATGATCTTACATACACACTGTTGTATTAACAGCCCATCACCGTATAGTTTGTAAAATAACGCAAGTCAACAGCTACCTAATAAATTGCATTATTATCTGTATAAGGCTTCCAAGTGGTACAATAAATCAGTCTATTTAATATCTTTAGTGCAGTGCCCGGTTCACAGATCAATATTAGGTTTGTATTGCTCTGTCATCCGGGAACTTCAACTGTTGATACAATATTGCTTGATTTTGTTATTTCGCTAGTCAGCCTGATATAGATAATAATAATAATATTGTATGGCTTTATATGTTCTTGTATCACACCCAAAGCCATCCAATATCATATAATTATTTGTGCTGCAAATCCAAGATAAAATTTTGTATGTTTTGCTTTTCAGCTTCACACCAATTTCCCTATTATTCCACTCTGCTTTATCTATTCATGTGAAAGATTTTATTTCAATATCTTACAATTAAAAAACAAAAACAACTAAGGGTTAATAAATCTGATGTATACATGTTCAAGCAAATCAACTGCAATTTACATGAGCTAGCAGCCTGCCAAAGTAATAATGAAAGCATTTTCTTTTCTTAAGACATGTTCTTGCTTGTATATCTTTTGATTCATGAAAAGTTATTTCTAGAGTATATTCAGCAAACAACACACACTTACACAAACACAGCTGACAAAAAAAAAAATATGCCCAAATTCCCATTCATATAATTATGTACAATTTTGAATAAAATACATAACCATTCCTCCTACACCCTACAACCTCATTCCTTTCTAGACCCTTGTATGCTTCTTTTAATTTTGTGATGTAGTAATGGGCAATTCATTTCAACAAATTCAAAATTTGTTAATCAAGCCAAAAAATGATACTTTCACTCAAAACAGTCTATACTCTATACCATAGCTAGGTAAAATGAGATGTTACATACACAGATACTATGCAGTGATCTAGATAACTTAATCTACACCACCTTAAATGTACATATCCAATGTGATACTAGTGTGTTTTCCCACACAACAAATACTACTATATGTATCATCATTTTGAGAAAAAACATTAAAACTATAAGGAGTGCCAAACAATAGTGATACCAAATTCCTAAAATTTCCCCAACTACCATTGCATTTCAAATCGACTTGCTTGATATTTTGAGTAATATTCAAACGCTTCTCCAATTTCAAGCAACGATATGAGCAAGCTTGGACATAAGAAAACGACACTTATACTGTATTTCAATCTCCAATTGAACTTAATGATTCATCATGGAATTGTTTGCTTTGACCATATGTGGAGTGCCCCCCATGCAACCACAATATGTAACACTCAAACTTGCCTTATACTTTTCCGCAAAAGAATATACACACATATACATCATATATATTTAAAGCCATGTCATGTGATTCACATAATGTGAAAGGGGGATTTAGTGAAACACACTGAAGTAAACTTACACTCTCACGTAAATTGAAGTACAATTTTGATTAGCCAGTAAACAACTACACGTACTTATCACACCCATTACATGGTGTTAACTATTTCCTTCAGTTTCAGAGTTAACACATCCATACAATATTGACATCAATAACATAGATGAACACACTACTTTATCACAATAGGTAGCAAATAGTATACAGCAATGTATTTACAGAGATAGAATTACACAAGAATCCATGATCTGTTTTATCTTCTTTTCACAAAAATATAGCAGATATTGAGAGTTTTATAGAGTTGTCTATGAAAGTCTATTGTAGATTTTCACTGTATAAGTGAATGGCAAAGCACAATTAGGGCCTAGTTAATTGCAGCTTTAACAGCTATACCTATGAATTTACATCTGTGTAATAATGTATATGGATTGAGGACTGTTTGACTGCTGAGAATCAATGAGAAGCCAAAATGCTGACAACACAGTCATATTTGTGTCTCACAATATTTATTAAAAATAAAATAAAATTGGATGACAGCAGATACCCCTCTCAATGTCATTTATGCATAAAAAGTGGAATTTAACTAGATGGAAAATATTGTACATCTATTATCAATCAATTATTTCAAGGTTATGTATTTTGAAAAAAGTATATCAGTTTTGGCAAAAAACGTGTCATTTGTGCCTGATGACACCCATAATATAAAATACATCATTTACTTCCCACGAGAAATAAAATAAATAACTCTGGACATTATGTTCTTAACATGATACACATGAGTTGTTGTTTAAACACAACATGTAGGAGTAATCTGAATTTTGTCCTTTTTAACACCACAATGAGTTCCATTATCGGCAAAGACACACAACACACACACACACACACAGATAACGAAACAGAACAAACAAATGGAGAAAAATACTTTTGTGTACAAAATTATGAAGTTGTTTTTCAACCTCTATCTATTGTATCAAGAATATATTTAAGTTTGTATACATAATTGTATTAGACCCCTCCATGCTTCTTCCCCAAGATAACATAATGAAGGAAAATAATTTCCTTCACTCTTTGAAATCATCTGGTGAAGAAATATACAATTTATGGATTCTTCGCTGTAAACTAAATCCTTTCCCCAAATTTCCCTTGCGTACCAAAATATAGCTACACAAAGTGTGTACATTTTGAGAAGAAATACCTATAGTAAAGTAAAGTGAATTGAAGTAATGAACTACTTTACATCACAGTGATTTATAAACAAGTAATTTGGACTAAACAAGAAACACTGTCGGGTGAAAATATAATATAAATCATTTTCTATACAAAATTCATTTCTTAAACAAATTTCTATTTTTGGTATATATAACAAGTGCATGATATCCAATGTTTTGACAAGAAAGCAAATATCTACAGCTGCAATTTATTCCTTGGATCACCGGTAGATCAGAATTACAATGTCAGATCTATGTGTCATCAGGAAAGCATAATTTGGAAACAATGCATACAAGCATTTGTTCTTTTTAATCCTTAAATAGTTAACTGATCTTAGAAACTAAAAAAGTAAAATAAAATTGGCTTGTGGGACCCCCTCAACCCCCTTCCAATACAAAATATTTTAAAAAATTCAAAAATAAATTGAAATGAAAAATTATAATAAGGTTGCAGCTACATGTTGTAAAATAGAGGTGCAACAATAGCCTAGCAATATATACTGCAGGATAAAAGGTTTAAATATGCCTACATGTACATGTATAGGTATAATATACACCAAAGAACATACATTGTAAGAATATATATAGCAGCAAAATATTGTCTCTATTTGCAGTCAAGTGCCCAAGTACAATTTAGCAGTCTTATTCATGGTTTAGGCTTCAGAGATACCTTTTAAAGCTGTAGAACACACAATCAAAAGCCATTATACATAATGTGCCAACACCGATAAACATCAATCACATTTGTGCATTTATAGGGCATCATTTTTTGTTTTGTGCACATCATCTAAAATACTTGTCACTGGCTGCAAGGTTCAATACTCATACACAGATATTTCAAATATATATGATCCACCTTCACTTTAACATGTACTTCACTGCTACTTTCCTTTATGTACATTATCAATTAAAAAGAATTAAAAAGGGAGATACACAAAAATCCCATCATTAATCCTGTCTTTTTTTCCTCCACGATGGAGAACGTGTAGCATATCTTTGAGCAAGTTTCGGGAATTTGAAGCATGTACATCAAGGCATGACGACAGTTTTTCTTTTTTCTTTATATAGCAGATCGCCTATAAAAGACAATAAGTCTTTATGGAAAGCTTTTCTGGATATCAATGATTCACTTTTCAAGCATGACATGACTTGGGTATAACCTTTGGCCTCTCTCTGTCCCTGTTTTAACAGGGGTGAGTGAGGGTCAGTACGGGGCCGTTAGGTCAAGGGCTTGTAGGAGGTCTTCCCCCTGCAGCAGCCTGTTGGTATTAGGCAATGGAGCATTCACCTCTGCATCCAGGTTGGTGATGAGGGGTAGGACTGCTCCTAAGGGCATCACATCACGCCCTAAGAGCTGGGTGATACTGCTCTTTCTGCCTTGGCTTGGTGGTGCCTCTGCCTGGCCCTGGGTCATGATGGATGGCGGCAGGGATGCCGTGCTCGCATGCAGTGGAGTGTTGCCAGTTTTGGAAGGGCCATTTCCAGAGACCTGCAATTTTTTAAGAATGAAATCAATTAAGTCAGAAGCAAGAATAAAATCATCTATAAATATACTCCTAATAAACATCTTTTGATCACTCAATGCTAAAAGAGCTAGAAAACGTTTTAAGTTCATACCTGTTCAACCATTTCATTACAGCTATAATAAATCAAGCTGTGCATTAAGTTACATCTGAAATAGAATGGTATATTCTCTTTCTCCTGCGACCTCCTGGAATAAACATATCTTTTCTAGTCCCTCTATAATAAAAGTAAAAATAATAAGGAGTTCTGTATATGCTTTTCAGCCTTAGTCCCATGTATTCATCAAACTTTCAGATGTTTCAAAAGAGAGCATATTTTGACAAGATATTGCCTCTTCAGAGCCAAAAGGGAATTGACCAAGCAGAATGATTTTAGTCAGCACCCATCTGGCTATCACAAGCTGATGTACAGAGAGAGATATGATATAAATGTCCTAGATAAGACAGACACTTACCCTTTGAGCGACTATCTGCAGTAACTGTGAATGTCTGAATGGATTGACATTGTCTTTATCCACCTTATGAAGGAGTGCTGATAGTAGATCCATGCTGCTATCCCTCTGCTGCTGCTGCTGCTTGCCACCTTGGGTGCCTGTGTCTATGTAAGGGCTCTCACCTAATAATCAAAGATAATTTAGATGATAAAACTGACAATATTAACTGCACTGTGGAAGATGTTAAAATAAGGATTGATTTGTCAGTTTAATCAAATTGAATTCCAATCATCTAAATGTACTTCTACTGACATTTTATGAAGTCTTCTCAAATTTTTCACAAATACTTTATGGCATCTTAACTTTTTAGATCCCACTAATCCTAACCTAGAACCAAATAGCATCTGAAGTCCTATTTTAAGACTTTGTCCCCCCAAAAAGTTTCCTTGCTGCCTATGAAACTTTGGAATTCATATATTAGTATTCGATTACTCACAAATGAAATTTGCAATTGTTCTGACTGAGAAGTACTATTACCTGTGACTGATCTGTCAAGTTCTGGATCTGGCTCTCTCTTGACATAGGTGACCCTGTCATCATCTCCTCCTCTGCCATTCCTCATCCCAAGCATCCCTAGCAAGCCATCTGATCGACTTATCTTGCTTCTAGGAGGACAGTCACCACAGTCTGGGGGCTCCAGCTTCCGTTTGAGGGTCGGGGAGTGCAGGTTGGTTTGACACCTCTGTTGAGGAGGTGACATGATGCTCTGAGGGCAAGGAGACACCTGCTGGTAGGATGACATGGGCGGGTACGGGATGTACACACCCAAGGGTTGCTGGATGGGAGCAGGGGATGGGAGGGGTGATGCAAAGAGTCTATCGTCTTGATGAGGGGCTTGGCCTAGTGGAGACAGCAGGTTGGGGTTCATGGGTGAGTGCAGCATCGGCGTAGGAGCACAACTGTGGGGGGACATGGCCGGAGAGAGGAGAAGAGGGTTGTGATGAGGGGTGCTGGGGGAGGAGTTGGGGAAGTAGAGGTTGGGTACGCTTCCACTCAGACTGCTGTTACAAGACTCCATAGGGCTGCCAGATGACATGAGAGATGGGTTGAAGGGTGATGTACGGCAGCTACTGCTCTGAGATGCGGAGTATTCCATGCCATTGTCTTCCATTTGCCTTAGGTTCTTATCACTGTTTGTAATGAAACGATCATAAAATGACTCTTATGAGAACACAATATCTCTGAATCATATGCATAGGATATTATATAAGACTTAAACTTGGCTTCAAAGACAATTTCTCATATGACCAGAAGAACAGATGACAACAGATGCATTTCAAAGAAAACATATATCTCAAAATCTGTAGACCCCCTTTACCAAATTTGTCAAAATATTAACACTATTTGAGCAATCAAAACTAGATTTATTTTTCTTAAAATAATTTGTTTGTTGTTACTAAAGTCAGTCAGGAGCAAGATCAAATCTAGATCAATATCGTCTCCTATAATGTTGCCAGAGAAAATAGCTCATAATCTCAAATTGTTTATATTGATTACCAAATGGTTTTCACTCACTTAAGCTGGTTTGAAATCTATTCATTAAATCTAAGTTCATATTCCATGTATCGTATATGGTTCACAAGTACTCACATTGAACCTGTCCCAAAAGGATCGACTGGCATCCAAGTCTCGCTAGTAAAGGGATCCATATCCCCAAGAAGAGGGTCCGTTGACAGGTCAAAGTCCTCACCCATAGGAATGTATGGTGCCCTCATGGCTAGCTCATCACATGGAATCTGTTGCTTGGCAACCTATCAAACAAAATCAATAATGTCATCTTTCAATGTCCTTTCTTTCCACTTTAAACAAATTATTATCATCACTGATGTCTTATTGTCTTGTGGTACATATTACCACTACTGCAACAATCATAGATCTTTTTATTAAATTGGTAAATGATTGAGCACATGTCATTTATTTTCACTTCATTGCAACCAGATCTAAATCATTATTAAAAATACAAACCTGTACATGTATTACAAAGAAAATTGGTAAAACAACAAGCCTTGTATGAAATTTTAAAACTTAGATTCTTACCATATCATTGTTAGGGAGTTTCTCTGTATCCAGGTTTGGTCTCTTCTCATGCAGCAGGGGATCATTGTTGGTACACAGATACTGGGTCTTCAGAACTCCTGGATCCTATGTAGGAAACAAACATTAAAAGGGCAATACTGTTTTAGCAACCACCTGGTTATAGAATATACATTGTCTTGTTTCCGATGAACAGTTTTTATGTTGCATTTTTCACTGAATTCTATACTCATAGAACCTGTTTTTAAATAAAGACTGCCAGTTGTAAAAGACTGCAATTTCTTGTCTTTATATAAATTTTAAATGGTAAGCATGCTTCAATCTCTTCTTGTACATAGTCACTTGTCGCTTCCATCATCCAGGAATACATTACAGTGAAATGCACAGTTGGTTGATTAAATACTGGGACACTCTTCATTTGGTTTATATATGGATATATAGATATTAAGGTAGTATCAGGAAGGAAGATTCTAGCAGAAAGAATTATCACTTGGTATCCAATAGTGGTCAATTGTTAAGTATATCGTCAAGAGGGCATGCCTAAAATAATATCTCATAAGTAACAAATTATATATTGATATGTGGACATGCCTAAACTGCAAGTGCAATCCTACTTTCACAATCGATATTTGCTTATTATTCTCTGGCTGAAAACTGGTTGGGGCTGATGCACCATACATGTACATAATTAAATACTAATATCATTTATTGGAGAATGAACTGTGGTATGAAATTCTAGCCATCTTTTTAACCTACACATGCCAAGTTTTAGGTATGTACAAAGTGATTGCAAAATCTATACTGAAAGGTACACGCATGAAAGAAAATCTTGGCTATGATTATCATGTGTGTGCATAGTTTGTTTTTTACAGACTTGTATCAATCAGATATGATTATTTACCTCTGGGGATTGACCTTTAACGTCATCATTCAAAAGACCTGGTCAGAGCCGGGTTTTTTAACCAACACAACTCGGTCCAAATTGTTAATTTGAGGTAGCCCTTCTGAATCTAGGGACATTGCCTCTAGGCCCTGTTCTAAATAAGTTTCCAGCCTCCTTGGCTAGGGAAATGATTTTGTTGACTGTACCTGAACATTCATGACAGTCTCGTTGTTGCTCTGAGGGACACTCTCCTTGGCTTGGCTGGGCGGTAGGGGTGCGAAGGGGTCAAAGGGCACAAAGCTGTCAGATTCATTGAATTCCTTGAACTCGCTGGTAAGGTCCATCCTCTGGCTGTCTGAGGGATCTAACAATGTTGACATAAATAGAAAATGATTGATAAAAAACAAACATTGCAGAGAGAAGTGCTCTTCAACCTGTCTTATCAAATGTACATCACAGATGAAATAACAATGGTGTATTTTTTGTATCAATATTTTTGAATTCAGAATTATGCATCGCAGCTCAAGGGCTGAACTGTACAATATTACTACAAAATGACATGATGAAATAATACATAAAACAAAACCATACAATATAAGTGAACATTTAAAAGTGGTGTTCTCTTCTCTTCACGGATTTATTTAGAGAAAATAAGAAATACTGCTACTATAGATGTACTTTATAAGCTGAAATCTGTATGAAAAGGCAACTTAAGCCTTCTCTCATAAATAGTTATTACAATGATTCAAATTTCACTGATTAGGGTTGATATTTACATGTGTTCCTAAATCATGATACAGTATTAGGATTAAAAGATTATTCCAAAGAAACACAACTAGGAGGAAATTCAAGAAGTTCATTTTGTTTTCAGCTGACAGACTTATACCTCTATGAAAAGACAGCCTACCCCTTTTTTCTTACAGTAAAAAGTAAACAGCTATACATTAAGAGGAAGGCAACAGGAAATTCCAAGACTCAAATGGGTCAAGTGCTATGGCTACAGTATACACTGCTTCAGGAAGGGGGTGAGGTAAGGGTGGGGAAGAATAACAAGATTCAAATGAGTCAAGTGCAATGGCCATAACACTTACAGCTTCAAGGGGGTGGAGGGGAGGAGGATGGGTATTGGGGTAGCAGAGAAGATAAGAGGAGAGGAAGAGGAAGGACAGAGGAGAGGTACAGGAGTAGCAGAGGAGGGGTAGATGGAGACAGGGGAGGGGGTAAAGTGAGTTAGAGGAGAGTTAGAAGAGGGGTATAGGAGGGGTATAGGAGGGGTATAGGGGTGAAAGAGGGCTAGAGGAGGGGTATCAAGATAAAAGAAGGGTAGAGGAGGTGTATAAGGGTAAAATAATGGTAGAGGCAGGATAGAGGAGGGATAGACACTATGAACATGTCGGACAAAGAAAGCGGACAAAATATACAGTTCCTCGGGTAGACAAAGGACCATCCCTTCACTGCTATTATGTAAAAAGGTGAATATGCGTGTGACAACTGTTCTACAAATTTGTACATAATAGCAGTGAAGGGATGTTCCTTTGTCTACCTGAGGAACTGTATATTTTGTCCGCTTTCTTTGTCAGTCATTTTCATAGTGAGAGAAGGGGCAGAGGAGGGGGTATAAGAAGCAGAGAAAGGGAAGAGGGAGAGCAGAAGAGGGGTTTGAGGTAGGGAAGAGTTAAAGCCCCACTGTACTACTTGTAGCTACTTGCTCCCTCTGTATAGAAAACAATGCCTATAATCGGTGACCTTTGGTCCCCCATAATCCTCTTTTTGCTATGTTAATTGACAGCTGAGTTGATGAGATAGCCACCTGTCAGTGAACACCCTGGGTGGTCTAATCTCCCTTGGCCAAACTAGTACAGACTGGATATAAAGGTGAAGAATTTTGGACATTTACCTAGTTCAATCATGACATCGCCAGCAGTAGGTGCCAAGTAAGCCAGCTTCTCTTCCACTGCTTGTGAAGCTGTTCATATGAGATACAATGTGATAATAATCAAAACATTTACACATCACTTTCCTACTGACCTAAAAAAAAAAGTTAGATGACATTTGTCAGGGTTTCATACTAAATTTTCCATGAGGTTCATAACAAAGAATATTAGGGATTGTCTGCTCCAGGCACTGCCCAATTGTTAGGGAAAATGTCAAAGGCACATTATCTCACATTGCATTGATAAATGGTAATAAATGAACAGGAAATTCATTGTGAGAGCTGATGGAACCAAGGGTACTATGATGGAACAGCACAGGAAGTTGACTGGACACCTAGCCAAGCAAATGATGTATCTTGCAAATCAACTCTGAAGTTTTATATATGAGTATGTATATACAGTATATTTTGAACAAATTATGGAAAGTTCCAAGCATACATGTACATGTATCAGCTATCCATTGGAAACAATTTTTGTCATTTTTTTCCTCATATTTCTCTACATAAAAATTTGAATATTCAACATGTCCAAAAAAATTATCTAGCACAATAAAACTATCTATAATAAAAATTATCTTTACTCATAATATTGAAAATAATGATGGTGATAATAATAATATGAATAACAGTTGTATTGATAAAGGACTTTCTAACTTAGGATACAAAAAACATATCAATATCACCGCAGTTTCATCCAAGCTATGATGAAAATAGTCATAACTTCTGAACTTTACACTGAATTTTGAAGTTCATAACAAATTAATACAAATATTTAGGTGACTTACAGTTGCAGCCAGCCAGATAAAGAGGGAAGTCGTTGGTAATGTTGGCATGACGAGGAGGAGTGAAGGTCTTTTCTTCATTCATCTCAATATCTCTTGTCTCTTCCTTCTCCTTCTCTTGTTGGCCAACTGAGAGGACTCTATCTCCATGCTCCACACCACTGTACACCAAAGACATAAACATTGGAAATTCAAAATTTAATTGCACGACAAAAAATTAGTTCAATCATACAAAATGTTACATGCAATAGGCGACTATACGGAAGTATAAACCAAACAAAATGTAGCCTAACCAGAAACTTCTGCAAATAGTTAATGACCATTTCTGAGGCGATATAAGCTTTTCCCAATTAAAACAAAAAGTGAGTGTTGTTTTTCAATATCAATCCTGATCAAATACATTACAAACTAATTGAACATGAGAATTAAGAACTATCAGTAAAAGAGAGTTATTCAAAACGCAAGGGTAAAAATATTGACAATTGTAGTGACATTTATTTTAAGTTTAAAATCATGTAATATATTAATATAAAGACATCTGCAGATCCATTCAAAAACAGTGCAAGAAGTGGATATGAGCTCTTGTCATATATGAAACAGGGATGTGACAGAGAAATTCCCCAAAAGAGGAAGATTAAATGGGGGTCCGGGGGCAATGCCCCCTTCCGCAGAAAACTTTATAATATTGACGTAAAAAAACAAGTTTTCCTTGCATTTCAATTCTAAATCTGAGAAGTATTAGTTACCCAATCTTGCTTAAAGGTACTCCAGAACATTATTTAGAGATGAGAGAAAAATGCTGCTAAGGTAGTGAGGTCAATGCTAGATGTACAATAAATGATAATCTGAAAGTCTAAGTTCCCCCCCCCCCCCCCCCCCCCCGGCTTGAAATCGGCGGAGACCTGCAAAACATACCATTACCAACATACATTTACACCTCGATTTTTGTTTTTGAAAAAATGCTGCTCATACATACAATACACCAACATGCACCTACACCTCAAATTGTTTAATACTGCTCATACATCTTTCTACAAGAGGGTACAAGGTATAAAGGTCCTTACTATATTCTTATCATAAAATTGTATCGTTTGTTTACTCTATGACTATTAATAATTGCTTCAGTTTCAATCTGTGATATTTGGGAACCTGGGATCAGGAAGAAACAGGAAATTTACTAGAGAGTTTTGGTATCAGTTTTTATATACTACATGATGAAGAGAAAATCCCCAAAAACTGTCTATACTGCAAACACATAGTAAAACTGTTTTCTTTGTTTTCATGATCTTTTAAAACATTGTTCTAATGAAATTGAAAGTGAAGTTTTCAAAGAGCATTGAAGAACCCAGAACCCTGGGATTTTTAATATGAATTAATCATCACTTAGTGTACAGTGTTAAAAAAAAGATAGTTTAGAACAAAATTGAATTTATCCTTTAAAACTCTCTGAAATGAACTCAATTCTATCCCCTATAAAATATTTGCCAATTGATGTATGTACCTGAACATAATACAACACATAGTTGTTCTTATTTCACCGCTACATGTGTGTATTTGATAGCAAAGTGTGAAAAAAAATAAGGATGTGATGTGATCGCTGTACAATATCTAAATCCCCTGTACATATAGAAGCTGTAATATATATCAGGCACCGCAGGCACACTAAAAGGTACAATCTTACTGAGTAGATACGACTATGGATGAGTGTTTTGTACATGTATATATAGCCTGGGCGCTAATTCCATGAGTTGATCTGTCACCTGTGCCTTCAGGCCCATTTGCTATACTGTATACATTTACATTTACCTATAGATACAAAGAATGGGTTTGACAACTGCACAAGAGGCATTTCAAGGTGAAATCCTGATAGTCAGTGTAATATTATGACTAAGGTGTGACTATAATGGGGCAGCAATGGATTTAAGGGTGTAGCACCATCAGCCGGTACCCCTATGGCACATGTATTAAAGGACACCAAAGCAAAATGTGACTTGTTTTCAGACCAGAAAAAATGGCACATAATTTTTTTTTTTTAGCTGTTGTTGGTGTTGAAATATTGTAATAATACATTTACACCTAAAAATTGTGATACCCCCTTTTTCGCTTGTCAGAAATTGCTTGCAAATGAGCCCCATCCCCTTTTATGTTATCCCAGATGTGCTCATGCATTGCTGGCGACTATCTAATCATCATATTATAATCATTCACTACAGGAATGTTTCAAGTAGCTTTTATATTAAGACACTGACAAAAAAAAGTATGAAGTACATTTGAATGGTTGAATGGTTGTTTTCATATCAATTAGCAAAGCATAATCATAAATACATCATCTATTCTCACAGATCGATATCAAGGGACTATCAAATCAGAGGCCAGTTTTTAAAAAGATTGCGATTGATTTGAATCAATCGTAACTCTCTATAATACAGGGCCCTAGTATTGAACTTCTCATGAAATATTGACAACATGTCAGTCTTATAGATTACAAGGGCTATGATAGAACTGTAAATGGCCAGTGAGCACTGCAATGATCATATGAAAGTGTCCTTTTTCAAAAAGGACGTTCGACCACCATCGTGTGAAAGTGATGTAAATATGTACTTTCCAGGAATTTCCACAACATATGCAGCATGCCAGCGAAGAACAAAGGCAATAGAAACCAGAATTGTTATAGAAAGTGTCCTATAGCAGAAAAAATGAGAAAAATGAAAAAATATCTTTCCACCAACACATCAACAAGTTTAAGTGGCACTCTTTTTTCTCTTATAGAGTGTTTATTTTGAGAATGTGAGGGGAGGTGCTCCTTTGCTTCTTTAGTAGACTGGATATTATGGGAACTCTGTCGGCTTGTCCTGTTTGATAGGGTCGTTTTACAAAGAGATGTCTCCTTGCATAACTTTGAACATGTCTGACATTGTTTCTCAAGTAGTCAGTTACAGTTTCTGTGCATCTTTCGTCTCTTTCTCTAAAATCTCTCTTTCTCTCTGCAGCATCCTTCCTCTCTCTTTCGCTATGTCTCACTCACTCTCTCTCTCGCTCTCTATCTACATACATACATGTACATGCACATTATGTGCCACCCACTCACTCTCTAATACTAAATGAAATTTATCCCTGTCTTTAACCCTTTTGTATAAACATGTACATGTGTTAACATTCCCTTTTTTTTTCTCTCTCTCTCTGCATTATCTCAAATGCAAAACGTTCAAATAAAACACATGTTTAGAGCCTGAATTTGACTGACAAACATACGGCCACACTAGTGTACTACAACACCGCTAACCATCAGGAAAATATTTTTGTTCATGACTTGCAAAGGAGAACACCTCATCAACAGTAGATATTAACCTATCACACTCATCCTTCATCTTCCTCTCAAAGAGTCTTTGATATAAGATAACTCTTAACCTCATTCTGTCTTACATACATGATCCAAATAAATTGATATCGTCATTTATCTGACAATGTACATCCCTGGAAGGATCTCCTTCAATATCAAGTTCATGTTTCAACACAAGGTAATAATACCTCCCGATGCCGGTACAGGGCTACAGGGCCTAGATGTCTTCGATGAAAACAACATGAAGGTATCGTGTGATGGAATACCCTAGACCTAGAAAATGTACAGGTATAATCCTTCGTCTCTTAACACCTTTTTGTTTGCGGCCGGCTAAAGTGGCGATGGTGGTTTTAAAATGCAATATACTCTCTGCCCTCGGGTGCCAAAACTGTAACTAGAGGTAATCCCATAGAATTGGAGCTGACATAATTTGTTTAAACTCCTCTGAACTAAATCAATCAAAAAGATAAGCTAAAATGCTTGAAGTGTCCATCTTCACAATGAATGAAAAATTAAAAAATATTTGTAAGTTTTTTCCCCTCTAAACAAAATCATGCAATGCAATGCTTACATTTTCTATTAATGTATGAAAAACATAATGTCAATGCACTTTAGACCTGTCAATGATACAAGATTTTCGTGATTTTCGTAACAGACTAAACTGCACAGTCCATTGAAAAATGTTCCCATCCAGGCTTTATTTCTACCATTTGACTTTGTTTACATTTTGACACTATACACCCACATACTCTCTCATGACCTTTTTTTACTTTCCAACTCCTCAAATCATTCTCCTTGCCAAGAGCTTGCCCAAAGTAAATCAACAGAACCATCTCAATCTTAAGACCTCAAGGAGAGAGAAAAGAATCACACATGAAACGTGGAAACAAACATCACAATTCTCAGCATTAGCCTCCAACCAAAATATTTTGAATGCTTGCCATCTCACAATGCATCCATTAATCATCCAGATCACATCAACAATACAGGAAGATAAAAGGAAGATAAAACGGAAAGTGCTTTAATCGCTTCTCCAGCAAAGGCAAGGGGTTGAAGGTACATGTACTTGACATTCACACTTTCTAAAAACAAAGAAAAGGAATATTGCAAAACAGATTGGTTTGATGGTTTGATGAATTAGGGTTCAAGGGTTACTAGGTATCTCAGATTATCAGATTCATGGAGAAGAGGGTCAAATGATGATCTCAATTAGACTTACTGATATCCATACAATTGCGGCTCATTAAAATGCATTCAAGGTTGGAAAATAAGTAGAAAATATCTTTAAAAAAAAAAATTTGCTCAGAATCTCTCCCTGTCTCTCCTTTTTGCTCTTTTTTTTTTTTTTTTAATCTATGGTTCTACCTCTTCCATTATTCCCATCCTCTAGAGAGAAGGGAGATCCTTCATCACTTCTTGAATATTTTAGTGATTATACAAAATCGCTGCAAAACAGTGGAGTGATACAAATAAATGGCACAAAAATAAATCACTTTCTTTACCCAACCCAGATTTTGTTTTCTTTTTCACAAACTTTCAACAGTGATTCTCTGAAAAAAAAGGGTTATGATGTTTCAAATTAACAGGCCATTAATTACATGTTATATTCTTGATTGATTCTCTGGGATACATCTGGACTGATGATTGCTGTTAAATTATAGCAACCCTCTCCACCCTTTCCCCCATCATAAATTACATACTTCTGGAGTAAACTGCCCCTAATATCTGACCCGACCCCCCTGTACACATTCAATTTGGAATAATCTGCTGATTACAATTTTTTCTCACTTCCAATAAAATCTGAAAAGAAATTAAAAAGCA